TTTAATTATTTTGAGGCATTTTAATAAAATTCTTTGCAAAATTCAATTATTTTCATAAATAACAATATTCATCACAAGAATTCAATTATTTTTAAAAGTAATAAACTTCTTTGCAGAAATTCAATTATTTTATAAAATTCTTATAAAATCATTCGCAAGAATTCAATTATTTTCATAAATATAATAAAATGCTTTTTAGGAATTCAATTATTTTGAAAAAAAATTTAATAAAATACCACACAGACATTTAATTATTTTTAAAAACTTTTTGCAATTCAATGATTTTCAATATCTACTATTTTCATAAAATTTCCAAATAGAATTCAATTATTTTAAAAAAATTTTGTTAAAATCTTCATAAGAATTTAATTTTTTTCATGAATAATAAAAATTTCTCACGAATTCAACAATTTAAAAACTTTAATTAAATTTTTTTGCAAGAATTAAATTACTTTTTTATAAATATTTAAATTCTTTTATGAATAATAAAATTCGTTGCAGAAATTCAATTTATTAGCAGGATAACAAAAAAGTAAATATTTTTTATAAAAATTAGAAAAATGTAAAAATTTACGGTAATTTGTACTTAAGATTACTGAAAAGTAACTTGAATTATTTAGTTTTATATGGGAGTTCAAAATGAACTTTTTTAATGAAAATATCAATTCAACTTAAATAATTTTGACGGAAATAAATACCGTTTATTAGCACAATCATTACATGAATATAACAATATTTTTTTTAATGAATGAATACATATAATATTTGTATACACATATATGCCATAATTCAAAATAATTTTACTGTGGCTACAAATTGTAGAACATAATGCGTTACAAATATATCACAGTCGTAGATAAACAATAATTATACATTTTTTAATGCACTCAAATGAATATGAAAATAATACACAAAAAAAGGGGGTAAAATCATTTGATCCCCTGCTACTGTTCCTTAACGACCGTTATCGTCAGAAATCGTCAAATTTGACCCCTAGTGGGGGGACGATACGATTTACGTTCCATCTACTTTACTCTCATTCCCCAAAAATACAATAAGAATGAATCGCAGAGTTTTAAACATTACAAAAAAAATTTTCAAATCCTAAAATTAAAACTTAGGTGAAAAAAAAATATTTTCGACAAAAATAAACAATCTTTTATTTTTTTTGATATAATATTTAAACGAGGAATTATTCCCTATTAGGAGGAAATTGAATTAATAAAAAATTTATAAATTTATATTTACAGGAATTGAAAAAACAAAATTAACAAATTAGAAGGAATGTCTTCTAGATTCTTTAATTTCACACCGCACTGATTATACTTGAATCAGTGTATGGTAAAAATTCGAATATTACTATAGATAATATTAATTTAATTTAAATTTTTCTAATGTAATTTTCTCTTAAGATAAAGTAATTATGATTTAATATTAATTGGTGTTTAATGAACCGGATTAGCATCATTTTTGTTTTAGAGCTTCGTCGAATGGGACGCAGAGAAAAACTTTTAGTAAAATTTTTATTACAATTGCAGTAAGCTTGCAGCAATGTTACTACAAGATTACATGATATACGACGCTATAGGAGACACTAAATTTACTCTAAATTTAATTCTCTAAATTGCTTCCAATTATGTGGAAGAATTTTAATTCTTGCTTCCAAATTAAGGAAGTAATTTACTTGAAAAAGTGACGCCAGTCCGGAATACAATAATGAGGAACAAGTGAATAACTAAGTATAATGGAAGTCTAAATATAGTTCTCTTAATATATATTTTATCGTCTATTATATTTCTAGAATATGATATATATATCGGATAGTGAATCCAGTCTTCATATGGCCGTATAAGTAATATTGGCCGTAAAATACTTTGAGAAAATTTCTACAATTTTTCCGTTTTTTATTATTTTTATTTCAATATAGTAGTTTCGTGATGCATATATTTATATATACGTGTCATTTTATTCGTTTACAATATCTTAGATATTTCGCAAAAATTTTTCTAAATTAGTCATGTTTCATCGTAAATATTGTATTGAGAAAATATTTTCCTTAATTTCGAATTTCTTTCCTTTTGAATTGAGAATAATTACAGGATTGCCACAAAAAATTAATTTTCTTTTTCCCCTGATTTCCAGACTTTTTCTTAACTGATTTTCATTTTTTCCCCGACCCTTTTTTTATTAATTCTAAAAATGATTAGATACTCAAAAAAAATTTTCTATTAAATTTATTTACGAATTTCTTTGATTTTAAAATTATTCGAAAACATCAATAAATTCTTTCTTAAATAAATATTAAATCATTATCATTATTCCATAGGAATTAAGACTTACAAAAAATTTCAAATTTAAAAAACAACCTGTAAGAATATTATTATAAAACATGAAGAATGAATTAAATTAATTAATTAAATAAAACATGAATTATAAAACATTAATGACTATTCGATATCTTCATGTTTTATAATTAATTTTATAAATTAAAATTTATATTTTTCAAAAAAAAAAAATAAATTATTTACAAAAATTTGAATAAAATCCTTCACAAGAATTCATAATTATTTTTACAATTAATAAAACTTTCACATGAATTCAATTATTTAAAAAAATGTTAATAAAATTAGTTGTAAGAATTCAATTTATTATTTTCATAAATAATAAAAATTTTTCATACAATTTAAATTATTTTTATAATACAATTTTAAATAAATTCCTCGAAAAATGTAATTATTTTCAAAATTTTTTTTTGCAAGAATTCAATTACATTTCACAAATAATTTAATTTTTTTTTGAAACTCAAATATTTTCAAAATGTACCATTTTAATGAAATTTCTCAAAACAATTCAATTATTTAAAAAAAATGTCATTAAATTCGTCGCAGGAATTTAATTATTTTCATAAATAATAATATTTATTCTATACAGAATTTCAATTATTTAAAAAAAAATTTAATTTAATTCGTTGCAAGAATTCGGTTTATTTCATAAATAATAAAAGTCTCCACAGTATTTCAATTATTTTAAAAAAAATGTAATAAAAAATCGTTGCAAGAATTCAATTATTCTCGTAAATAATAAAATTCTTCACAGTATTTCAATTATTTTTAATACAAATTTTGAATTTTAAGTAAAATTTTGGAAAAATGCAATTATTTTCAAAAATTTTATTAAAATTCTTCGAAAGAATTCAATTCAATTACATTCTACGCAGAAGTTTCAGTTAAAAGCATAAAAAATTCAAAGATTTGAATTTGAAAATTCAATTTTCAGATTTTCACCTTTTCAAAATTCAATTATTTTTCAAAATTCACGCTATAATACTTTTAATATTCAATTATTATCTGAAACTCATTTTTAAATCTATTTGTTTAAAAAAATTCTACGAGAATTCAATTATTTAAATAAATAAAATATTAATTATGTATAATAATTAAATAAATAAAAAAATGATTTATTTATTTATTTAATAAATGAATGTTTCTCAGAATTGAATTCTGATAAAGAATTTTATCAACTTTTCTAATATTTGAATTTTTTTGACGAATTTTAATAAAATTTTCATGAATAAATTACATGTTTTGAGGAATTTGATTAAAATTGTATTAAAAATAATTGAAATGGTGCAATGAGTTTTATTGTTTATGAAAATAATTGAATTACTAAAATTTTATTATTTTTGAAAATAATTGAATTATTGCGAAGAAATTTACAAAAAAAATTTGTAAATAGTTGAATTCCTGTGAAATTTTTATTATTTATGAAAATAATTTAATGTTTGCTTAGAATTTTATTAACTTTTGTTTTAAATAATTCAATTCTTCTGAACTTTTTTTTTTTAAATTAAATATCAAAAATCATTGAATTGATGAAAATTTTTGAAAATAATTGAAATTTTGCCAAGAATTTTATTAAAATTTTTTGAAGATAATTGAATTTTAGAGAAGAATTTGATTATTTATAAAAATAAATTGAGAATTTAAAAAAAATTTTTTGAACATAATTGAATTTCATCTGCAATTATTTGTAACTTCTGTTAAATTCAATTTTTTCCATCAGTACTTTATTAAAATTCCCTGATTATTAATTAATTAATAAAAATTTCCCTGTAGCAAGCCTGAATTAATAATTACAGAATAAAAAGTAGATTGGAATTTGTAGACATAGATTTTCTTTTGTCAAATTAAAACTGTTCTTTAAGGAAATAAACTATTGTCGAAATTCTTTTTCTGTTATGAAATTTAAATATATATTCCCTTTTTTAAATTCTTGTATCGAATAGTTTTATAACTATACAAAAGAAGGGATAAGTTGTACAAATGAAAAATATCTAGACACAACTTTTTGAAAATTGCTGATTTGGAATAATTTATTTTTACTCTTTATTGTTGTGAACTAAAATATGAGTATTATTTTATACTCAGTAAGCACTTTTTTTCTTCTTTAGCAAATGCATTTCTGTTTTAATTAAAACTTCAGTAAAGGAAAATATCTGCAGGCAATTTTTTTTACAAATTCCTAACAGCAACGGATGTTCCAGTATCCTAGGTAGCACTTAATTTTTTTGGTTCTGTAGAGAAAAACTTTTTTTACGTCGATGTGAAAGATGCAGTTTTTCTAAGACTCAAATTAAGACAAAATGAAACGAATCGTTTTTGTGTTTTTTGAAAAATGATTCATTTTTCTGTCTCAAAAACAATGTGTACCTGAATATTATCCGGACACCGTGATCCTTAACACTTTTCAAAAATTAAAAATTGATAGACACTGTTAATAGTAAAACTATCGTATTACAAATGTATTACAATTTTCTCACAATATTATTCGCGAATATACGGAAAGAAAGTAAACTTCCGTTAGTCATCTAACACTAAAAATTAAAGCTGAGACACTATAAATTATAGTGTGTTTTGTAGAAATTCAGCCTCCGGAAGAATAGAAAGAAATGTCGCCTATTGTAGATTTTTAGCGGACGTTTTTTGTTTTCCATCATCTCGTTGGAATTTCAGTAAAATTTTTTTTTTTTTTTTTTTGAATATTCAAAAACTCTGCTCGTGAGTAGAAACATCGAGTTCGTTTGGTGGTGGCACCAATGTTTGGAGGGAAAAATATCGTGACCTATCAGTTAAATCAACGCTGGTCACGTGCTGAAATTGACATGGTTGACTGATATTACTCTTTGCTGGTAGTACCACCTTTTTTTGTGTTACTTTCTTCTTTTTCTTCTTGCCCGGCACTGACAAGCTGATATTTTCTGGACATGCCACAAGACGTTCTATATGCTGCCAGAGATCACTTGCTGCTTTTGGATTATCAAAACTAAAACCAGCAAGTCTCGTGTGATCCGATGAAAGACACATTGTGTGGAATGCTGGTCCCGACACCTGTGGAGAAACATTAATTTCAATATTTTTTTCACCTTAAAAGAAATAAAGAAAAAAATAATTATTCTACAATTCAGACAACATTTTATATTCTGAATCATTTTAAAATTATAAATCCGGAATTGCAATCAGGTTTTCCTTTTTTTTATCCTTATAAACAAAAGAGGGAAATAAGAAATAGTCTCACCTTGTATGACGTGAGATTGTCAATGGTTTCTTTCCATAAAGTAAAACATGTCCCTCGTTCAGCTAAAAGTATTTGAATTCTCCTCTTGGAACGAGATCTAGTCTCTCCTAAATCTAATACAACAACTGGTATTCCCGTGAAACGTAATGACCATCCTTCCGGTTGTGTTGCATTTCCAAGATATAAGTTTGCCAATGATTCACAAACGAATACCTGAAAAATAATAGAATTTAAAAATTTTTAATTCAAAATTTTTATAAAAATAAAATATAAATTGGAATATAGTTTTAATACTATTATAACTATAATAATCATATATTCTAAAACAGTTAATTCAGGGAAAAGTCAGGGACTTTTATTAAAATGAAATTTTTATTAAAATTGAAAAATTTTTAAATAAATTTTTGATAGCCAGCGTCCCCACCCGCCCGTATCAGAAAAACGAAATTTGGAAAAAAAATCGAAAAAAAATTCATAACTCGAACAATTTTAGACCAAACTTTTATTTCTTGGTCACAAATTAAAGGGGGATAATTGCTCCTTAAAATGTGACGATTAAAAAATTTTTAAATAAATTTTTGATAGCCAGCGTTCCCACCCGCCCGTATCAGAAAAACGAAAATTGGAAAAAAAGTTCAACAAAAATTCATAACTTGAATAATTTTTTACCAATTTTTTTTTTCTTGGTCACAAATTACAGGGAAATTTTTGCTCCATAAAATGTGACAATTGAAATTTTTTAAAAATCTAAGTTCATTCTAATCAAATTCATTCAGTATTAAAATTTTATAAAATTTCAAATTGAAACCGTTTGAAGCTCATTTATTAATGATAATTGAAACGCATCTCTTTTAAAATTGAATTAATTATTTTGAATATTTTTAAGTAAAATTATTCATTAAATATTTATTTATTTTATGATAGTTATTCAAGATTTAAGTTATATTTAAAAAGAAATTTTTTTCAAAAATTGAAAAAATTGAAGTAGGTTTTGTATTAACATTCGTGATAATTTTATAGTTTATAATTAATGTTTTATAGTTTCTTTTTTGTCAAACAAAAAAGACAAAAATTTAGAATTTTCTTATGAATTCTAAAAATTAAATTTTTTAGTACTTTCAATAAAAATTCCTGACCTTTCCCTGAATTTTCTATGTCAGAATATAGGTCGTAATTTTGAATGATTTCCTTCCAAAAAAAACCCTTACCTGTGACTTTAGTCCACGGAAAAATGTTTCAACTTGTTCGCGTTCAATTTGTGAAACTGGCTCGAGACGATTTTCATCGCTATTTTCTGAACTATCGCTGCCCTCATAACTTGATGTGGCTGATGTATCCGCTTCACCTGTTGATGATAATCTTCTTCGGGTTGAATTGCTGTATTCACTGTAATATGAACTGTGCAATGACAAATTGGATTGTAACGTTGGACAGGAAGTTGCATACACTGAGGCATTCATTTTCATCTGAAATTAAAAAATAAAAGAAAACAATTAATTTTATTGTTTTAATGAGCATTCAATTAGTTTCTATTATTATTTTAATTTGAATAATTTATTTTTTGTTTATTGTAAAATAAAAAATTTTTTTCTGAAAATAGTGGAGAATTTAAAATACACGATAAGAGAGAGAGATAAAAGAAAGATAGAAATAAAGACGCCTATAAAGATTCCCAGGATTTCCGGAATTGTTCATGTAAATTTCCGGGAAACCTCTTCCTTCAGTCTTCCGGAAGACACTTCCGTTTTTCCGGAAATATTTTCACGTCGTGAAGAAGAAGTAGGTGAAGAAAAAGGAAAAAGGAAAAGAAGAAGAAGAAGCATTAAAAAAGCAGCGAACGTCGCGAAGCATAAAAAACTAATTTCTACAATGCAAACATATTTTATTTCCGCGAATGAAACCTTTTAAGTTTCTTGTAAAACCGCAAAAAGCCTATGCATCAGTTCTCGCCATCAGCCACATCCGGTGACTGTGTGTCTGTGTGTGTGTATTTTTTTTCCCGTATAAATAATTCTACTATATATCTCTCATGTTTATACAATACGAAAACTTGTCTCTCACAAGTTCACGCAGTGTATTTTATTTTCACGAAAAACGAAAAAGGAAAGGACAAAAACTTTTTAATAGAGAATAGAGGACCAGAAATTCTACATCCTGTTTTCTCGTCTTCAAAACTCTCTCACTCTTTCTTTTCTCCGCCTGTAACTTAAAACTTATTCTTTATTCACTGTAGACATTATCAAAAGTATATATCATCATTTCTTTTTTCCTGATGGTAAAAAAAATGGGAAAAGAAATCCTAAAGTAATTCTTTTTTTTATACCTGGAATTTTCAGATTTACAATGTGATTTGAAAATAAAAGAAATATTTTTACGTTGTCATCACGTAAGAAGATATTAGATTTGGTTCAGATTTGATTTTCGCAAATTTTTTATTATTAGTTTTCTCATATAACAGAAAGAAAGTGTTAAATTAGAGATAATTTCAGGTGGAACATTTTAAGCTTGCATACTTCACAGCTTGCAGCAAGCTTTCTGTACTTCCCAGTAAGCTTGACAGCTAGCAGCAAGCTTTAAAAATATGACAGCAAAGACAGCAAGCTCTCCACATTTCCAGCAAGCTTGAAAAAATTTAAAGCAAACTTGACAGCTAGCAGCAAGTTTTTAAAACTTGAGAGCAAGCTGGAGAAACTTTACAGAAAACTTGACAGCAAGCTTAAAAATATTTACAGTAAACTTGACAGCTAGCAGCAAGCTTTAAAAACTTGACAGCAAACTTAAAAAACATTGCAGAAAACTTGACAGCTAACAGCAAGCTTTAAAAACTTTACAGCAAGCTTTCCACACTTCCACCAAGCTTGAAAAAATTTAGAGCAAACTCGACAGCAAATAGCAAGCTTTCAAAACTTGACAGCAAGCTTGAAAAATTTGACTTCAAACTTGCCAGCTAGCAGCTAGCTTGAAAAAATTTAGAGCAAACTTGCCAGCTAACAGCAAGCTTTAAAAACTTGACAGCAAAATTGTAAACATTAAAGCAAACTTGACAGCTAGCAGTAAACTTTAAAAACTTTACAAAAAACTTGAATTTCTTTACAGCAAGCTTTCTACACTTCCAGCAAGCATGGAGAAATTTACAACGAACTTGACAGCTAGCAGCAAGCTTTAAAACCTTGACAGCAAACTTGACAGCAAGCTTTCCACACTTCCAGCAAGATTGAAAAAATTTAGAGCAATCTTGACAGCTAACAGCAAGCTTTAAAAACTTGGCAGCAAACTTGACAGCTAGCAGCAAGATTTAAAAACTTTTCAGCAAGCTAAAAAATATTAAAGAAAACTTGACAGCTAGCAGCAAACTTAAAAATCTTTACAGCAAACTTTAAAAGTTCACAGCAAGTTTGAAAAAATTCACAACAAATTAGACAGCTTGTAAAACTTGACTTTAAGATTGATAGTTAGCAGCAAGCTTTCCACACTTCATAGTAAGTTTGACAATATTTAGAGTAAACTTGACAGCAAGATTAAAAATCTTTACAGCTAGCTTTAAAACTTTACAGCTAGTTTTTCATACTTTCCAGCAAGTTAAAAAAAATTTACAACAAACTAGCCAGCTTGGAAAACTTTACTTTATACTTGACAGCAAGCAGCAAGCTTTAAAAACTTGACAGCATGCTTGAGAAACATTACAGCAAACTTAACAGCTAGCCAGCAAGCTTTAAAAACTTGACAGCAAGCTAAAAATCTTTACAGCCAGCTTTCAAAACTTGACAGCAAGCTTTCCACACTTCCAGCAAGTTAAAAAAAAATTTGCTACTAACTAGCCAGCTTGGAAAACTTTTCTTTAAACTTGACAGCAAATAGCAAGTTTTATAAACTTGACAGCTAACTTGAAAAACATTACAACAACGTTGACAGCTAGCAGCAAGCTTTAAAAACTTTACAGAAAACTTGAAAATCTTTACAGCAAGCTTTCTATACTTCCAGCAAGCTTGAAAAAATTTAGAGCAAACTTGACAGCTAGCAGCAAGCTTTAAAAACTTGGCAGCAAGCTTAAAAATCTTTACAGATGGCTTTAAAACTTCACAGCTAGCTTTCCAAACTTCCCAGCAAGTTTGAAAAAATTTACAGCAAACTAGCCAGCTTAGAAAACTTTATTTTAAATTTGACATCTAGCAGCAAGTTTGAGAAACTTGACATCAAGCTTGAAAAACTTTACAGCAAGTGTGACAGCTTGCAGTAAGCTTTCAAAATTTGACAGCAAGCTTGAAAACCTTTACTGCAAGCTTGACAGTTAGCAGCAATTTTGAAATACTTGACATGCAAGCTTTCTAAACTTCACAGAAAACTTGCTGTAAAATAACGTGATATCTGTGTGGCACAAAATGACGATTATAAACAAAATCGATTTAAAATTAATACGTATTTTTTATAGTCAACCCAAGTTTTTCATGGCTATTGTAATATTTTAAATATTTCTTATTCAATTTCACATTCTTTATTGGAATCACTGCATTCCGTTAAGAGGGTTTAACTACACCATTTGGTTTTTATACATTACTTTTAAGTGTATCATTTCGAGATTCAATAGAAAAAGAGAAAGATGTTCTATTTATAAAAATTCTTTCAGTTATACAAAGGAAGGTGTATTTTTTACTTTTTGCCATTTTCTACCTCCTGCTAATTAAATTTTTTCTCTTTTTTTTGTTGTTTTTTTTTCCTAAACATCCGGGATACTGTGATCCTTCGCAAGCGCAGAAATGCTCATCGATTATACCTGGAGGTATCCATTTGTGTTCTGCGCGCGAGATTGACCTATAAATAGGAATGACCCCATAACAAAGGAGCTTTGAATGAATACCTCCGCTCCTTTGGATATTTAATATATAGCAAATCAAAAGTTTAATATTCTAAAAAGAAATAATTCATTTTCCCTTCTTAATACTTTATTTTTCCTTCTTTAATATAAAAGACGTTTTTACTTTTTAATTTTAATTTAATTTTAACTTAATTTTAATTTAATTTTAATTTAATTTTAATTTAATTTTAATTTTACTGTTCACTTCTATTTTTATGATTTAATTTTACAAAAATTAATAAAAAATGACAAAAGTTCAAAAGAAAAAAAAATGTCGTAAAAAATATTTTTCTCTCTTGTATTCATGAGACAAGTGTATAATTTCGTGATATGATAATAAAATTGTTGAGAAATTTGGAAAACTACTTTCATAATGTACCCGCATTTGAATTTGTAATACATAGTTTTTTGCCCTCTTTTCTCTATAGCTATCATCTTGAAAATGACAATATAGAGATACAAGTTTTTGTCTATATATTTTTCTCTCTCTCTCTTTGAAACACGAAATATAATAGAGTAAAATGAAATGCGAGCTTAGCATTTATTGTGACGCACACACGCGTGTATGTAACGTACACCGGAAATGTGTCGTTTACGAGAAAAAGTATAAAAGGGATGCGTCCATTGTTCTTCAATGTGATTAGAGATTTGCTTCCTTTTTCGTGATAAAATGAAATCATATCGCGCCAGTTCTCATTTTATATCAGGTCAACTAACTTTATTCAACTAATGACATGAATTATTAATCAACAATTTCTTTAGTAGAGACAATGAAAAATTTTATTCTTATTATTCTTTTTATGCATTTAAAAAAAAAAATTATTAAACAATTTTTTTTTTTTTTTTTTAAAGTCTGATTTTTTTTCCACTTGTTAATTTGAGGAAACTGTTGCGTATATATAGAGGAAACAAAGTTATTTTTTCTTTTATGCTGAATGTGAGTAGAAAGTATTTTATACCCGGAAAGTGGAACGACAAATACGAAGAAAACACCTTATATTCTTTGGCAATGAAGCAAAATGACAATAGCCTCTCTTTATCTGAACATTCTTTTTTTTGTCTGCTTGGAAGACGATATCGTTATATCCATCAAGAAATGCACTTAAAAACAAATCGTTAAACAGTGTAGAGGCAATCAGCAATCCAAATACCGGTACAAAATAGACAACACCTGTTTGCAATTTTTTTTTCTCCTTTTATCACAATTTTCTATATAATAAGTATCGTAATAAAGGTTCACTCGAGTGATAAAACATAGGATACATTTCGAATTGAATGAAATATTCAATTTAAAGAAAAATTGTATACCTATAAAAATTGTGTCAATATTGCGCATCAATAAAAGATGATTTTAATTACTAATTGACCAATACGGCCAGGATTTTGACATAAGTCGAGTTGGACCCTCACTTTTTTCAAAATCCTAAAGTAGTAGGCAATTTTAGAACCCGGGATCTTGTTCAGTGGGTAAAAATACATTGAAAACGAGTACAATGTCAAAAACAATTTGAAAAAATTTTTTTTTGGTCCTTTCCCCCACTTTTTTCAAAATCCTAAAGTAGTAGGCAATTTTAGAACCCGGGATCTTGTTCAGTGGGTAAAAATACATTAAAA